TGGCACCAATCCCATGGTGGGCAGTACATCTTTTTTTTTTTTAACCCCCCTTTCCCCCACTGATAACATCTTACAAATGGGGGAGGGGTGGGTGGGTGAAATAGGTGAAGGGGATAAAGAGGCACAAATCTCAGTAATAATACAAATTAGTCACAGGGATGAAAGTACAGCATAGAGAATATAGTCAATAGTTCTGTTAACATCATTTTATGTTGACAGTAACTGCATTAGATGGGGTAAGCAGTTAATAATGTATATAATTGTTGAGTAACTATGTTCTATAATTAAAACCAATAAAATATTGTTTATCAACTATACTCAACTTAAAATAATTTAAAAAAAGGAAAACAATTATAGTACAGTATCACAACCAGGAAATTGACCCTATACCATCAGAAACAGAACATCTCCATCATCATAAGGATTCATGCTGCCCTTTCACAGCCACATCCACTTTGTTCTTGCCCTCACCCCTTCTTAATCTCAGGCACCCACTGATCTCTTCTCCACCTGTATAATTTTGTCATTTCAAGTGTGTTATGTAAGTGGACTCATACAGTAAAGCAACCTTTTGGGATTGGCTTTTTCTCAGCATACCCTGGAACTTCACTCAAGTTATGTGTATTAATAGTCCAATCTTTTTAAAGCTGAGTCACATTCCATGGTATGGATATACCAGGGCAGTTATTTCTACTTCCCCTTATAACCAAGAGTTCACTACATACCTAAGACAAGTCATCTGTCCATTGATTTTCATAGTGCAATTTAATTATCAACTTCCTCTTTTTGGCATAACAGAGACCGTTAGTCTCTGGAACTTTCATTTAGGCTTGAATAAAAGCTGGTTCACACTGGTGATTTACTTACAACAGGCTGTCCTGGAGTAGGTGGTTTATCTTCTCCATCACTCCCTGAAGATATATCATCTGCACCTCCAAACAGATCCATGGTTCCACTGTTATCTTCAATGTAGATGGAAAAATGCACAGAATTAATATCTGTAGCATTCACCAAAGCTATCACATTAACATATCACAAGATTTCTGGAGCACACACCAGGGAACCACCCAAACACAACTCTGAGCCTGGCTCTCAAAAGATCTGATAAGAGGCCTGTGGAGAGGGAAGGAGGCATATCCAGTGAAAGGCACTTCTTCCTCTCTTCATTTACTGCATCCTTGTTCTTCCACTTTCCCTTACTCCCCAGGAGCCAGATGTCCTCCTACATCTATCTAGATACTCAGATTTGTGCCTTAAGCACTCCATGCAGGCCTGCTCTTTATACTGCCCCTCAAGTTTTAAATTATAGGTCTGTGTTTATCCAGGCTTCCCTCCTCTCACGCAGAACTTCACCTAAGCAAAATAACAACAATAATCTGTATTAAACCAATTAACCATGGTTGGGGAGAAAAGTAGGTGAACAGAAAGATAGGAGAGTGGTCATAAAGAAGCCTGCTTAAAACTGAGATTATAGAATGGCTGCAATTTTTGGTAATGGCATGGTCTGTGATAAAATGATGAGAGTGAGTTACTGACAAAAGGTGGAGGACCGATCACTGAAAAAGAAAAGACAACCTATTAGAATGGCCAAAATCCAGAAAACTGTTAACATCAAATGCTGACAAAAATGTAAGCAACAGGAACTCCCATTCACTGCTTGTAGAAACACAAATGGAACAGCCACTTTGCAAGACAAGTTTCTTACAAAACTGATCATAAACTCTTAACATATACTCAAGCAATTGTGCTCTTTAGTATTTACCAAAGGACTTGAAAAAATTCATGACCACACAAAAATCTGTACACAGATGTTTATAGCAGCTTTATTCATAAATTGCCAAAACCTGGAAGCAACCAAGATGTGTTTCAGTAGGTGAATGGATAAACTGTGGTACATCCAAACAATGGAATATTATTCAGTGCAAAAAAGAAGTGAGCTGTCAAGCCAAGAAAAGACATGGAGGAAATTTAAGTGCCTATTACTAAGTGAAAGATGATAATCTGAAAAGGCTACATTCTGTATGATTCCAACTATATGACTTTCTGGAAAAGGAGAAACTATGGAGAGGGTAAAAGATAAGTGGTTGCCAGAGATTAAGGAGATTCTTTCGATGAATAGGCAGAGCACAGAGAATTTTTAGGACACTGAATTACTCTACATGATACCATAATGATGCATTATACGTTTGTCCAAACCCATGGGATGCACATAACCAAGAATGACCTGTAATGCAAACCATGAACTTTGAGTGATAATGATGCGTCATTATAGGTTTATCAATTTTACAAATGACCCAGGCTGAAGGGGGATGCTGATAATGGAGGAGGCTATGCACACGTCGGGGTATATAGGGAATCTGTGTACCTTCCCCTCAACTTTGCTGTGCAACTTGAACGGCTCTAAAAACAATTAAGACTTAATTTTTTTAAATGTGAAATTAAAAAAAGAGAGAGAGAGAGAGAGAGAGAGGACAAGGAGACAAGGGAAGTCAGAGCACTGAAAAGTTAATCTATATGATAAAATCACCAAAACTACAACTCCACTCCCCAATTTTCCTGTCCCTTCCTGATTTCCTTCTTAGTTCTTATCACCACACTATATATTTAACTTACTTACTGTTTTACTGTCAGTCTCCCTACCCTGCTCTGTAAATTCTACAAGGGAGAGGTCTTTCTCTGTTTTGATTATTGCTACATTCCCAGTGCCCAGAAAAGTACTAGTACAAAACAGATCCTCCATAATTGTGAACAAAATGAAAGGACATATTTAATTATCTAATATCTAATTCTCACGGCAACCCCGTAAGATGATTAGTATCACTTCTCCTTTAAAGATCAGAAAATGGAAGTGTAGTAAGTAATTAATTTGACCAAAATCATATAGTTGAAAAGTGGAGTCAGAAAGACTCTAAATAACTTAGGTCATATTCCAAAGTCTAGGTATGTAACTACTAGTTATAGATTCAAAGATCTTGAAGTAAATCCTAGAACCTGCTATTCTGTCCAGCTCTCTCCTTTTCGATCTCTGGTTGACCCTCCAAATGATTGCTTTAGTTATGTTACTCATGATAATTTATATAAGCTACTAGAATAAATTCCAAACTACCATGTAGCATAATAACAGTTGTGAGGAAGAAAGGGATTAAGGGGCATTATGACTGGTACACACGGTGTGGGCAGGTCACGGGGAAGACAGTGAAGCACATAGAAGACAAGCAGTGACTCTGGAATCTTGCTATGCTGATGGACACTGACTATGGTGGGGTGGGAGGGGGACTCAATAATACGGGTGACTGTAGTGACCATAATGTTGCTCATGTGAAACCTTCATAAAATTGTATATGAATGATACCTCAATAAAAAAATAATAATAATGGTTGTGCATAATCAAACTACCAAAATTATGTTTTCTCTAACTTTGATACTAACGTCTTTACTGTATAGTTATTAGCCATTTGAAACATAGTCATACATAGAGATGAACAGGTAGATCTTTTATCCTTGCAACAAACCTACCTTACCTGGATCACTGGGTTTTTTACAAACTCTTCATCTAACCCCCTGGTTCCCAGCGGGGGTGGCATTGCCCACCTGTGGGTGCTGAAGAAATCTGAGGGTGTGTTCTTAATCCAAAACTTATTAAGGGGGTGTTGGGGACCAGCCACTGCCCCTTTGGGCAATACTTGCATGAATGCAATGAAAGGTTTAATACTCCACAGAATTTGATCAAAGTGAAGGCAACTATTTCTGCATTCATGTCAAAACTTGACTTGCACAAAAGAAATTTGAGTCAAAGACAATTTTATCAGTTCCCAAATCCTTCTTCAGTGGAAACAAATGATGACGACATTCAGTTTACAGCCAGCATTTGGAAGCACTTAAAGAAGATTTTAAAAATCAATTCAGAATTTACTCAGCATGATTATTCCAGAAGGGGCCCTAGACCCTTCCTGGAACCTACAAGTAGCAGAAGCCTCACTACTGGAGGGGTTGATAGAACTGTCAACAAATGAAGAACTGAAACTGAAATTTAAAAATTGATATCAAGAATTTTGGCTTCAAAGGCACATTCCGATATTATATTCAGCCTTATGGGTTGAAGCAGTAAGTTTTTCATTGCATTTCCATCATCATATTTAGCTGAAATAGGATTTAGCATAATCAGCAATCTATTAACAAAGAAAAGAGACAAACTATCAATAGTGGAACGTGGAGATTTAAGATTGCTGACGACAAAAATGACACCAAACATCGAAAAATTAGTGTCATCTCACCAAGCTCAACCCTCTCACTAATAAAGACTTTATTCATTTTTAAAAATAATATATACTTTTAAAATTTTTTAAATTTTGATTGTACTTTGAGCAATACATTAATATTGTTAATTCCTTCTAATAAAATAATTTGAAAAAAATCTGCCCTTGTTTTATGTATAGCATAGTACAATTCACCTAAGGGGGACGTTATCAAATCACTCTTTGAAAAAGTGGGCACTAAGCCAAAAAAGGTTGGGAACCTATGACCTAACCCATAGTTTGAAGAATCAGGGTCTTCATCTGATATTAACCTGTGAAGAACTTAAGAACAAGTTGCCCTGGAATTGTCATGATTCAAACTGCAGAATGGACATTGTCACCTCTACCTCAACCAGAACCCCAGCCCCCTAACAACAGATTCACTCTAATTACAGACGAAGAAGTAGGTTCTTCTTCATCTAATTAAGCAGGAACAGTTTCTCACACCTGTACAACTTCCTGCGTACACTAAGTGAATTCACACTCTTTTTCTGTGGGCCTTCAGCCTGGGATAAATGCCCAGTGTTGGGAGTACACTACCGTTAGATGTAGAAAGAGGGATGTCTATCTGTATGTACATATGTATATGTGTATGTGTACCTCTATGTAAAAGAACATACATGGAGTACCTTTTGGTACCTCAGTGTCACTATCCATTTCTGAATCAGATGCGATTGTGTTCTTGCGCTTCATTCGTAAAACTTCATCTTCGCTATCACTGCCTCTTGCAGATTCTGTAAGAGTAGAATGAGAGGTTCTGCATAATCACAGTCTTATCATGTCTTTGAATTTTGTGTTTTAAAAGCAACATCAGAGATAAACTGATACACCCATACAATGGAAAACTACTCAGTAATAAGTAAGAATCAACTATTATACATGTAACAATTTGGATGAATCTCAAATGCAGTATGCTAAATGCAAGAAGCCTAAGTGAAATAAAAAGAGTACATACCATATTATTCCACTTATCTGATGACATTCTCAAAAAGACAAACTTTAGTAACAAAACAGATCCGTAGCTGTCAGGGTGGGGGAAGGATGTGACTACAGGGATAGAAGGAGGGAATTTTTTAGGGTGACAGAATTGTTTTGTATCCAGACTGTGGTGGTAGTTACATGATCTATACGTGCATTAACATTAATAGAACTATACATACATGTATAAAAATCTACTTACTGTCGTGAATTTAAAAATAAAATTAATCAAAGCAACACTGGTTTCTGTAAGCAAAAAAACTTGGTAGAGTGAGCAAAGCAGTATTGAAACTCCTGATTAAATTTATACACAACTCATTACAGAGGGAAAAAAGAGGTAAAAATATTGCAATGAAAGAGATAAATTTAACATTATTTCTGAACAGTAAAATGTTTATCCTAATTGTAAAGTTCAGAAGATCAACTGAACATCTGTAGAGCTAGTTAGGAAGGCCAGATACAAGATTTCCTACTACAAGCCTAGTCTTATGTTAGGCTGCTAGTATTTGGGAAATAATACTTGAGCCTTAATGATTCTGGTAACAGTACAAATAACTCTACCCAGAACTGATTACTGATACTTAGTGCAGTCTTATAGTCTATATAAACCTGGAAATATTTTGACCACTTCTCTTAAATAATTCTAAAATATGGTTCTGAATGGTATCTTGTGAGGCATGTACTACATGGGAAAAAATCCCTCCCCTCACATTTTAAGCTAAGATCAGATCAATATATAATTATAAGCAATTACCTACAGAAATGAAGCAATCCAGATATTACTTCAGGAAGACTTCCAACCTAATCAGTATAATACAAAGAAACAAGGTCTCTGAGTTTTTAATATTCTATATGAAGAATGTGTTAACTTGAGCAGAATAGCACATAAGCAGCTATGATAAGAGAGGGTCCAGAAGTCAAACTTCGGCTGTGTGTTTCCTGTAGCCTTTAGGGAACGAGTATTGTGACCCCAGCACATCTCCTAGGGGGAGGATGCAGGTGTCAAGCTGTCAGAACTCACTGAGGCCACCCAGCTGCTCTTTCGTATCCTGGATGTTAATCTCCCCAGGCAGCCTCCTGATTATTAGAATATGGCATCCAAGGTAGATTTTTCCCCAAGGGAAAGGATACAATAAGAGAGAAATAACTGATCCTCTTGAAACAAACGATTTTGGGTATCAGAGTTTATAAACTTGTTTCTTGTTAATTTGATTAGTTGGAGTAAACTCCATGGAGCCTTATTACCACTGGATGATCAAATTTTGGATCACAAACAAGTGCGCTGGAACATGGTGTTCACACTGCAGTACAGCTCCCCTATGGGGACGTTTCAACAGTACTGTGTTTTTTTTCCACCAGGCAAACCTATTTTTACCTAAGGCATACTCTCCGGCTGCCCACAGAACTACAACCAACTCTATTCATTATCTAGTTACTCTAGCACCCTACATCTTCCTCTGAAACTGTCCTCTTTAAGTATTTTTCTTCCTATCATCAATTAACAAATGAAAATGGAGTAGATAGAAATAATAAATGGATTAGAAAATTTAAAAAAAAAAAACAACAAAATGTATGGATTTAGAAAAGACTGAAATGGTGGGACAAAAGAGAAAAAACAGGGTACCAAAGATGGGAATACAAAAAGAATAAATGACCCACTGCTGTATCTAGATGCTTCTGCCAAACCATTTTGATTCCCAAAAATGTATTACCTGATTTATGGTCCTGTTCCTCTTCATCATCTGAATGCTGCCTGTGTTCTTCATCCGAGGCCTGTGCCCTTTCATCATCAGAATTTTGCATTTTCTCCTCATCAGACATCTGTGGCTGTTCCTCATCATCAGAATTCTGTTTCTCATCCTCATTATCAGAAGCTGCTGGCTGTTCATCATCAGAATTGGCCTTCTCCTCCTCAGACAGTGGTTGTCTCTCATCATCTGAAAGCTGAGGCCTCTCCTCATCATCTGTGTTCTGAATTTTCTCATCATCATCATCAGAATTCTGCAGCTTATCTTCATCAGATCCTTGCGCCCTCTCCTCATCATCAGAATTTTGAATTTTGTCATCATCTGACTGGTCACTTTTATCTTCTCTGCCCCATTTTTCATCATCTGACTGTGCTTTTTCAGAGCCCTCTGCATCTGAGTGGTGGCTCCCTCCATCTGATCTATGACCTTCATCTTCATCATCATTATGGACTTCTGATCCACTGTGCTGATCGACATCTGAGGGGTCATTGTCTTCACGGTCAGAACGCTCAGAAGCTTCTGATCTATTGTCTGATCTTTCAGAGTGATTGTCACTCCCACTATGATGAGAAGCTCCCTCATCCTCACTGTCCTCTCCAAACAGTTCCTGATTACTTGGTTTTCCTGAATCACCTCTTTCATCTTGATCACTTTCACTTCCAGAAGCATTACTGCCAGAAGCAACATTCTCTTGGTCAGACTCAGAGTCTGATCCAGAATCAGAATCTACTGGAACATATAAACACAGGGTGATGTCAGCAAAAAAGAATAAGGAACACTGAAAGTCCATCAGACATAAAGCAGGAAAACCTTGTTAAAAAAAAAAACCTGTCAGAATCTACTTTCTCTGCATTATGGAAACTAACCAAGAGTTGCAACAACCAGGGGAATATTTACAAGAAAAAACAGCTGAATTTCTGTAAGAAAACAGAACTTTGTTGTGTTTAACTTAGCTTTTTTATCCCCACTCTCCTCACCTGCTCCCCAGTCCAATGGTGTCTTGAAGGTAACAGCTTGCATTTCTGGTATATGTACCACTACTGGAGGAAGCAGAAATGACCTCATTTACAAAGCATTACGGTTGTTAGTTCTGATCTGTCTGATGGATCACTGAAGAACTGGTTCAAAGGGTTTGACTTCATTAACTTGGAACACTCTCAGTGCGGAGGCAATTACCTGGGAGTGTTTGTTAAAAACGTTTACAGGCAAATATATTAGTTGCCTCTGCTTGGGACAATGGATAGCAGTTGGGGCAAACAACAGACTAACAAAAAAGCTTGGGAGGAAAGGGAGGGGTATAATACGGGGAGTAATAGCTTTTAAAAGCTCCCACATTCTCCTAGAGATCTGGTAGGCCATGCACTTTCCCAGTGCTGGGCACACACTTGGGGAAGAAAAGGTCCCAAGCCCTCACTTCTGGTTGACCTTCAGGCTCTGTGAAAGCAAGAAATGAAGGCAAAGACAGGTTGTGAACTGCCTGCTTGAGTGTTGAAAGCATGCCCCAACTTGTTACAGACAGCCAATCTGCATACACTGAGTATTTTAAAATTCTAGGCATTTAAGGATATTTCTCTCCAACTACCAACTGACCACTAATTAAAGGAACAGACACTCAATGAACACACATAACAAAGATTAGAGACATTACAAAATTACTTCAAAAGACTCACTAAATAATAATTATGACAATAAACAGCAGCAACAAACCCTAGGGAAGGGGCAGAACATGATTTCCTAAGTTGCCACATCATAAAATTCAAAATACCCAGTTATTACTTAAAAAAGGCATGCAAAGAAATAAGGAAGTATGGACCATACATTTGAAAAAAAGCTATAAAGTGTCCCTGAAAAAGCCCAGACAATGAAAATGGTGTCTTACCAAATAGAGAATACCAATAATAAAAAGACAGATACTTTAAAAAAAACCCAGAAATTCTGGAATTGAAAAGTGTAACTGAAATGAAAAACTCACTGAAGCAGCTAAACAGCAGGTATGAGCAGGAAGAAGAAAGAATCAGCAAAATTTAAGTTAGGTCAATCGAGAATATCCAGTGTAATACCATCAAGTGTACCAAGATATACACAAATAAGAGTCCCAGAAGAACAGAAAAGGGCAGAAATAACATTTGAAGAAATAATGGCCCAAAACTTCCCAAATGTGATGAAAGACATCAACCTACACATCTAAGCTTAAAGAACACCAAATAGGATAGAGATCCACTCCTAGACATACCATTATCAAACTATTGAAGAAAAGGACAAAAAGAATCCTGAAAGCAGCAAAAGAGAAGCAATTTGTCCCACACAAGGGAACCTCAATAAGGGTAACAACTTTCTCATCAGAAATCATGGAAACCAGGAGGCAGTGGGATGACATATTCAAAGTGCTGAAAGAAAAAGACTGTCAACCAAGAATTCCATACCCAGCAAACCTATGCTTCAAATATGAAGGAGATAGGCTCAACAAAAGAAAAAAATAGATAAATTGGACCTAAAATGAAAAACTTTCTTGCAACAAAGGATATTATCAAGAAAGTGAGAATACAACCTAGAGAATGGGAGAAAAATTTGCAAAAAGATGTATCTAACAAGTGTCTAATAGCCAAAATATATAAAGAATGTTTACAACTCAACAGAAAGAGAACCCAAATAAAAAATTGACAAAAGATTTGAAAAGACATTTCTGTAAAGTTATACAAATGACCAACAAGCACATGAAAAGATGATCAACATTATTAACCATAAAGAGATGCACATTGAAGCCACAATGAGATACTACTTGACACCAACAGGGATGGCTACGTTAAAGAAAAAAAAAAGGAAAAACATAAAATAATAAAATAAGTGTTAGCAAGGATGCAAAGAAATGAAACCCTTAAACATTACTGGTAGTAACTAAATAAGTAAGTATAGAAGTTGGTATTAATGTATTTCTGGTTAGTAACTCCTCTTCTTTTATTAGGTTTCAAGGCAATTACATAAAACGATTATAAATCCACATCACTGGGCAATGTATAAAGACATAATTTGTGACATAACAATGTAAATGCAAGAGGGGATGGAACTATACAGAAAAAAGGTTTTTGTATACTACTGAAATTAAGTTGGTATTAGTCCAAGTTAGATTGTTATAAATTAAGATGTTAATTACAAGGGAATCAAAACAGTACACCAGAAGAAAATCAGTCATAAAAGGCAGTAATAGAGAAACTGAGGTACAAAAAGATAGAAAATATAGAAAACAAATAGCAAAATGGCAGAAGTCCTTCCTTATCAGTAATTAAGTCAAAGGGATTAACTTCTCTGGTGAAAAGACATTGACAGAGGGTTTAAAAAATGATCCATCTATAATCTGTCTACAAGAGACTCACTTTAGAACCGAATACACAAATAGGCTGAAAGTGCAAAGATGGGAAAAGAATTCAATATAAATAATAACCAAATGAGAGTTGAAGCAGTTATACAAACAGACAAAATACATCTTAAGATGAAACTGTTATGAGATAAAAAAGGATCAATCCCACATTAAAGATTCACAATTATAAATGTATGTGCACCTAAAAACAAAAACTGATAGAACACTGACAGGAGAAATAGCTCAACAATAGTAAATGGAAACTTAAATACCTCACTTTCAATAGTGGCTAGAGCTAGACAGAAGATCAACAAGGTAACACCAGACTTGAACACTTATAAACCAAGCAGTCATAATAAACATGAATAGAGCCCTCCAGCCAACAACAGAATATATATTCTTTCTAAGTGCACCTGGAAC